AGATCAGCCTCTGGAATGTCGCTTTCGCCTTTTATTGTCTACAATAATCAATGTATAAATGAGAATATTGATCGAACACAATGAATTTAGTCATATGTATACGCATTATATTGTTTATTTATTTATTATATTTCTTTATCTAGGCATTTGAATTCTTCATAAATAAAAATTTGAAATCTCCTGAATTCATTTCATTATTTATTGACGAAAATCTTAAGAAAGGCTTGAAAGGAGTAAGTATTTACGTGTTTGTTTACTGTCTTTTACATTTAAGTTAATCAATCAATTGAATTAGAAAACTGAAGAAGAAGTAGATAGTGTATTGGATAAGACTATTACGTTATTCCGTTTCATTGGTGAAAAAGATGTTTTTGAACGATATTATAAACAACATTTGGCCAAGCGACTATTACTCGGACGTAGTGTAAGCGATGATGCAGAAAGAAGCATGATCGGTAAACTTAAGGTATGTTGAATGAGAATTTTAATCATAATTGACGCATATAATTATTGATTAAATTTAATGCATATCTTAAAATAGATTGAGTGTGGATATCAATTCACTACGAAGCTTGAAGGAATGTTCAATGATATGAGGATCTCAACCGATACCATGACAGATTTTAAGGACTTTTTAGAAAAATCTGCACTGGAGGTAAAAAAAAAAAACAAAAAAACAAAAAAACAAAACAATTTAGTGAGTTATTTTAGCATAAAATTATTGGATTTTTATGCCAAGTCTATTTTATAATACTCAGAGGCCCAAGCTGGATTTAAGCGTTACCGTTCTTACGTCTACATTCTGGCCTATGAATTTATCCGCAAGTCCGCGGTGTAATTTCCCTGCAGAAATAACCAAAGCATGTGATACATTTCAAAGATTTTATCTTGCACGACATAGTGGTCGGAGGTTAACATGGCAATCCAATATGGTGAGTCAGTTTCTTGAGTATATTGCAATAAAAAGTAGTAATTTTACTTATTAATTTGAAATACAATAATAGGGAAGTGCAGATATTCGAGCTACTTTTAATACTCGGAAACATGATATTAATGTATCAACGTATCAAATGGTTATACTTTTAATGTTCAACGATTTGCCCCCTGGCCAAAGCCTATCGTATGAGGTAAGGTGTATTATTATATCAATTTGTCCCGTTGTCATTTTTAAAAAGTTTGGTTCGATCAATATTCTCATTTATACATTGATTATTGTAGACAATAAAAGGCGAAAGCGACATTCCAGAGGCTGATCTCAAACGTAATCTTCAATCATTAGCATGTGCCAAATATAAAATTCTGGTAAAAGAACCTAAAGGAAAAGAAATCGAAGCTGGAGATAAATTCTATTTCAATAGTGATTTTACGTGTCAGCTGCAGCGCATTAAGATTCAAACAGTAGCTAGCAAAGTTGAAACTGAAGGCGAAAGAAAAGATACGAGGGAAAAAGTTGAAGAAGCCAGGAAACATCAAACAGAAGCCGCAATTGTAAGAATTATGAAAGACCGAAAAACAATGGATCATAATCTTTTGATTGCAGAGGTGACGAAACAATTGCAGCCACGGTTTGTACCCAATCCGGCAATGATCAAAAAACGAATCGAAGCATTAATTGAACGAGAGTATCTAGAACGAGCACCAGGCGACAGGTTAGTCTTTACATTCATAATCTGATATATAATTCTTTCACTAAAATATATATATGTATATTTTGTTTTTTTTATTAGACGTGTCTATAATTATCTTGCATAGGGATGGGATCGGCTTGAGCGAGCTCGGATTGGCTCAAAAAGCCAACTCGAGCTGATGGCTCAAGCCAGCTCAAGTAAGTTGGCTCAAGCCGGCTCAAGTAAGTTAGCTTAAGCTGGCACATTATTTACAGCTGTTTCGAATGATTTTTCGGCTAATATAATAAAAGTTATTTTTGTATTATTAATGATTGTTTGACAGATCGTTATAACAATAATATCAATGTTATCAAATTTTTTTCGTTTGAATGCTTGTCTTACATGTTTGATGTATTTAGTACGTGTGTTCTTGTCAACTAATAAATCTTTGACAAGAAATATAAAAGCATCTCCAAATAAATAAATTTTTATAATAACGTATTACACGAATAGGTGCTAATGTTAAAAATTAAACATATATTGTACGTGTTTAATAGCATAGTTTTTCTAAAAGCGATAGAAGTTTTTCAATATATCCGTATCATTGAAAGTGCTTGAAACCCCATTTTGTCAAGTTTTTAAATCGATAAATCTAAATATTTTTCTATTATTTGTTAGTGAAGATGTTTGAAAGTATCATATTTTGTCTTCAACCCAAGATATGCGTAATATCAGTCACCCGATTTGTTATATGTAAATTTTTACATATATAAATTATAGCAAAAACACAATTATTTATAAATTTTGAAGTTGATGTTTTTTCATCTACATATTAAAATTAAATTTTACAAATATTAAGGTGAATAAAAAAATCCTTTGGCTCAAATCAAAATTCCGTAATCTTTATACAATTTGAAATATAATTTTGTTAAAAAATTTATTAGTTTTAATAGGTGATTCTCTAGTCATCTAGACAAAAATATATTTTTTTATATATAAATTTTACTATAAGTGTAAATGTGCAGCATCCTATCTAAAACTTTTTTTCTTACTAAGTAAATCATTTTTGGTCTTGTAACAAAAGTTGTAAAGCTTATCAAGATGCATTTAATGGTAGTAATAATATTAAAATTGGTTTGGTGATTCTTGAGAAATCTTTAAAAAAAAAATTTTTTTACATATAAAATTTTTTTAAAAAAAATCAATTTTTTTTAAAGAAATTTTATATATAAAAAAGAAGTTTTTTAAAGATTTTTCAAGAACCACCAAACTGATATTAACATTCTTACTACTATTAGATGCAACTTGATGAGCTCTACAACTTTTGTTACAAGACCAAAAATGATTTACTTAATAAAAAAGTTTTAGATAAAGACATTACACATTTGCGCTTATAGTAAAATTTATATATAAAAAAAAATATTTTTGTCTAGATGACTAGAGAATCATCTATTAAAACAATAATTATATATAAAATTATGTTTAAATAAGTTTATTTAGATAACAAAGATAGATTATCTTAGTAAAAAAATAAGTTTGCTATATATTAATAAAATTTTTAGTCTATTTATATAATTATATAAATATATATATATATTTTTTTTTGTTTCTAAGGCAATTCTGTTTGTTTTATTTGTGAGAAAGAAACCTCGATAGTATGAGGCACATACTAACTACAGAATCTATTATTCTCAAACCTTTAGCCAAACTACCCAAGCTAGCTATGCAGTTGTCGAAGCTTTCACTTGTAGTCAGGGCAAATCATTAAACCGCTTATGCTTTATATTCAAGTTAACCTGCCTGAGCAAACCCTTGGCCTCTTCCAGAGGTCCAAAACTTGCTTTGGACTTTTTTTCTCTAAAATTCTTGACTGGTGGTTTGCGAGCCTTGTCAAGATTCTCATCCTACAATAGAATGTCACCAATCTGATAACACTTTCTCATAGGGAAGAAAAAAAGAAAAAAAAATTTTTAAACAAAAACAAAAAAAGGGAAAACAAAAACAAATACATATATGAAAATGGGTACTAATATAAAAAAAATCTGAAAACTAATCTAAAAACCTATAAAAAACTATCGCTAGAATAAAGAAAACCTGCTAATTAAATAAAAATTTTATCTATACAGAGTAACAAACTACTCATATTAACTTGTTGCGAGAAACTTGACATGCCGAAAAAAGAAAAAGAAAAAACTAATATGCACTATAACTCGTGCTAGAGGATAAAAATTATATACATATAACTATAGAAATGTCTGTATATTTCACTTTACTTTGCTTCTTCTTTCCATAATAAATCTATATTGTCGTCCGAAAGTGTATAAGAACTTTAAAGCTCCATGCCTATATTGCACATGTTTGTACATTCTAAAAATAACATGCCACATGAGGTACACCTTTTGGGTACCTGATCCAGTTACTTCATTCGCCGACACTGTCTATTTTACACATGTTGTTTTGTCACCGTATAGTTTTCTGATATGGAAGTAGTAAATATTGTTGATCTTTAGTAGAAGTTTGCCGAATTCCCTACTTTTTGTTAAAAATTATGCCAAAGTATTGAAGAAGAAAAAAATATAGATATTGTGAGTATCCAACTAAAGAATATTTTTTCAATTATTCTTTGTCACCTTTTATCATCAAACAAACTTAGCTTTCCTTTTTACTTGCTGTTCCCAGAGGCTTTTCCGGTTTGGATACCAAATATGCAAGGGAGTTTACCCAAGACAAGAAGAATAAAACAAAGGCTTGACCTTTGTGCAAACCATCCAAAATATCTGCTCTTCGGTGTATCATGTTAAAAGACTTCATTGACAACAGTTTGTATCAAGAAAACCTAAGGTTGGTGTTGACTTTTGGTCTTGAGTCTTCAAATTGTATTCAGTGAATAGTTGATACAAGTGATCATCAGAAAGAGTCGTTGTACTGTATATTGTATATGTATATATATATTTAGCAGTTAGGGCTCTGACATTTATTATCTAATATTTATTTACTATAAAACTCTACCCCTCCCCCAGGTAATATTTTTATTAACTAACTAAATTTTAGTATTATATTGAGGTAAGGTTTGACTTTACTCCCACCCCCTAAAATATTATCTAATAAATATCAGCACCCTTATACTTTTATTATTTTATTGAAAGTACCAGAAAATTATTATTAACAGGCATACAAAACTTTCTATACTATATTTTTATGTTAATGAAGATTTACTTTACCTTATAGCTCAATTACAACACTACTTAGCAGCAATTTTGCTTTACATTAGATCTTTAATTATCTAAGGATTTGAGCTCTCTAATCATTAACTGAAGCAGCTATATTGCTTTGTCAAAAAGTCAAATCAAAAAAGCATAGATAAAAGAACAACACAGAGATATAGAGGATAATGATAAAAAATACAAGCAAGAAAAAAAAAGATAAAAAAGTAATAAGAATAAAAGAATTTGTCTATTCTAATATTATATTTATAAGCCTGTAAAAGTCATATAAAACTTATATACTATTAAACAAACTAGACCCTACTTTAAATTTTATCTAAATAGTATTATGAAATTATAAAAAAGTAAATATATATATTTTCTCTTTTCAACTAATTAGATTGCTTTATACAGACTATGTA